TCCATCCATCCATCCTTGTGATCTCTAACTTTGGTGGTTTTCTTGCAGACGTTTCATCAGCCAACTAGGTAACACCATCAGTGGTCTTCCTTCCTTCCTTCCTTCCTTCCTTCCTTCCTTCCTTCCTTCCTTCCTTCCTTCCTTCCTTCCTTCCTTCCTTCCTTCCTTCCTTCATCCCTTCCCTTCCCTTCCCTTCCCTATCCATCCATCTTGTGATCTCTGAGCTTGGTGGTTTTCTTGCAGACGTTTCATTACCCAACTAGATAACGTCATCACCAACATGGATTCTCTCACTCACAGTTCTGTCCCATCTCTTACACAACTGAAAGCAGTTGTGACATTAACCCTTCCCTACCCCTGAAAGCCTGACCACTACAGTTATGGGGAAGCTACCAAGAGTTCTTGATCCACCACGGCTTCTTAGGCTTTCACTCCAGCTCAGTTGTCTTGCTAAAGCTGAGCCCGATTCCTGGGTTAGACCCAGGCCCCACTCCCCCAAATCCACCAGGCAAGGTCTCCCCACCCTTTATGGTCCCTGCCATCACAGAACATCGATCGGGCCCAAGTTCTCAGAGGTTCCAGACTCCTTTCTACTGAGCCATCTCCACGCCCGACGAAAGGACTTCTCTTTCCCCCAGCTTTTCTTTCGTGCAGGAGAAACGAAGGACTTCCAAAGGTCCCTTTGGACACACCTGTCAGCCTCAGCACTTGCAGACTGATGAGGGGCCTCAAGGTCACCCGGCTGATGGTGCGCAGGTTGTTCTTGCTGAGGTCCAGCAGGGCCAGCGAGGTCAACCCGGTCAGCGCCTGCTCCTCCAGAATCTCAATGCTGTTCTCTTGCAGGTGGAGCTCCTGAAGCCTCTGCAGAGGGAAAACAGGAGCACGCATCTTCAGACTGAGCAGAACACCCTTCAGCCGTTCCAGTCCTTACTCCGTGGGTCTTCCAACAGGGCTCTGCAAACCTGGCCACTGTAAGCCTTGTGGGACGTCAACTCCCGGAATGCCCCAGACGGCATTCTGGGAGTTGAAGGTTGCCCCAAAGAAGAGGGAGTCAAGCTATTCTCCAAAGTGCCTGAAGGCAGGACAAGAAGCAACGGATGGAAACTAACCAAGGAGAGAAGCAACCTAGAACTAAGGAGAAACTTCCTGACAGTGAGAACAATTAACCAGTGGAACTCCCTGCCTCCAGAAGTGGTGAATGCTCCATCACTGGAAGTTTTTAAGAAGAGACTGGACAGCCCTTTGTCCGAAATGGTATAAGGTTTCCTGCCTGAGCAGGGGGTTGGACTAGATGACCTCCAAGGTCCCTTCCAACTTCATTATTATTATTATTATTATTTCCACAATATCTTAAAGTGGCCAACTTTGGAGAGCCCTGTCTTAGAACATAGAAGTATAGGGTTGGAAAGCACCTTTGAGGTCTTCTAGTCCAACCCCTTGCTCAAGCAGGAGACCCTAGACCAGGGGAGGCAACCTTGGCTCTTTTATGACTGGTGGACTTCAACTCCCAGAATTCCTGAGCCAGCCGTGCTGAGGGGAAAGGGAGAGGTTTCCAAGCTGAGCCACGCTGGCTCAGGAATTCTGGGAGTTGAAGTCCATGAGTCATAAAAGAGCCAAGGTTGCCTATCCCCTGCTCTAGGAGGCTCACCAATTAGAGCAGGAGGACTTAGGACAGGGATAGACAACCTTGGTTCTTTTATGACTCATGGACTTCAACTCCCAGAATTCCTGAGCCAGCATAGCTCAGCTTGGAAACCTCTCCCTTTCCCCTCAGCATGGCTGGCTCAGGAATTCTGGGAGTTGAAGTCCACGAGTCATAAAAGAGCCAAGGTTGCCTACCTCTGGCCTAGGCCATTCTGGGTAAATGGTTCTCCATTCCCTTCTTAAAAGCCTCCAGTGTTGGAGCACCCATAACGTCTGAAGGCACGTTGTTCCATTGATTGATTGTTCTCTCCTTGATACGTTTCCATCCGTTGCTTCTTGTCCTGCCTTCAGGGGCTTTGGAGAAGAGGTGGACACCCCCCTCCTCTTTGTGGCAGCCCCTCAAATATTGGAACACCGCTATCATGTCACCCCCTGGTCCTTCTCTTCACTAGACTAGCTGTGCCCAATTCCTGCAACCGTTCTTCATATGTTTTAGTCTCCAGTCCCCTAATCATCTTTGTTGCTCTTCTCTGCCCTCTTTCTAGAGTCTCAGCATCTTTTTTTTTTTTTTTTATAAGAAATTTTATTTATTTTTTCCGTCATAAAAAACAAACATAAGTAAGCACAATAACCATTCAAAAATCCCCCCCCCCGGACTTCCCAAACCTATCCCAGGATAAAATTCATATAAGAATAAACAAATACTAATATCTCTAACTCCACATAGTGTCTTAATCTATAAAAAGGGATAAAAACCATAAGCAAACTTAAGAAAAATTTAAAAGCCTAAATTATATTCCACCACTCTGTGCTTCTTTTGAATATAAACGATCCATCTTCTCCATATTAATAAAAATTGTTCATTCGAGTGGTTCTTCAAATAGGCCGAAATCTTTGCCATTTCAGCAAGGTACGAAACTTTCAATCTCCAGTCTTCCATTGTTGGCAGAATTGGGCTCTTCCAATTTTGGGCTATCAACAATCGGGCAGCAGATAAACAGTAAAGCATCAAATTTGTTTCTTTTGCATCTAAGTGTTGTACAATACCTAAAAAAAACAACTGTGGAAGGAAAATAATCCTTTTTTTAAAAATCTGCTGTAAGTTCCACCATAATTGTACCCAAAAAGCCTTAATAACCTTACAAGTCCACCACATGTGAAAAAAAGTTGCATCTGGATGCCCACACCTCCAACACTTGGATTCATAATTCACATAAATACGGGACATAGTTGAAGGATCCAAGTGCCATCTATAAAACATTTTATAGAAATTCTCACGTAGATTTTGAGCTTGTGTAAACTTCACATTTCTCACCCAGATCAACTCCCAAGTATCCATAGGTATTGTTTCTCCTATATTTTGAGCCCATTTAATCATACAATCTTTAACTAATTCAGTTTCTGAGTCCAATTCTAATAGAACATTGTATATCCTTTTAATATGTCCTTTGGCACCATCTCTTACTTGCTTCAAAAAAGTCCCATCTTCCATAGCAAAAATAGTCTTTTTATCAATTCGCCATCTATCTTGAATTTGTCTATACATAAGCCAAGAGAAATTTGGGTTATTTTGCTTCTTTTTTTATGTTGTGGCAACCAATACAGGAGGCAATATTCCAAGTGTGGCTTCACCTGTCCAGTATAAGCATAAAGCACCTCATTACCTTTAAGAAGTCAGCGCAACTTCCATCTGCTCACAGCATGGAATTTCTTTAGGGAAGGTTGAACCCTTAGCAAGGATTCTTCTTGCTAGCATTGATCTAATCTGTGATGTGGGTTTTTTTATTCTTTCCCAGAGATCTCACTGGGAGTAAGAGAGTAACAGAGTTGGAAGGGACCTTGGAGGTCTTCTAGTCCAACCCTCTGCTTAAGCAGGAGAACTTACACCATTCTGGACAAATGGCTGCCCAATGTCTTCTCAGAGACCTCCACTGATGGAGCACTCACAACTTCTAGAGCAGTGGTGGCGAACCTATGGCATGGGTGCCAGAGGCGGCACTCGGAGCCCTCTCTGTGGGCACACGTGCCGTTGCTCCAGCCTCGCCTCCCCCTGTGACCCCCTCCTCTCCAGCAGCCCCCCTGAAGGAGAGTCGCCCCTGAGCGTGGCCCATGCGGAGCAGCGCAGCCAAGGACATGGCAGCCAGGCAGCGTAGACAAGACTCTGCCCTCATGCCCCATCACGCACAGTTGAATGCTGCAAGGCGGGGGCAGAGGGCATGGCCGCCATGGCGCTGCTGGGCTGCCTGGGCGATCTGTGGCGGGCCCTGGAGGCGGTGAGTGGCCCTGTGGGCAGGCAGGGTGGGGTGGGGCAGGGGGTGGAGCAGGGGCGGGGCCAGTTTTTGCGCTCTCGGTCTCTAAAAGGTTCACCATCACTGGCATTAAGGAATGTAGCCAATAATAATAATAATAATAATAATAATAATAATAATAATAATAATAATAATAATAGTAAAGTTGGAAGGGACCTTGAAGGTCATCGAGTCCAACCCCCTGCTCAGGCAGGAAACCCTATACCATTTCAGACAAATGGTTGTCCAATCTCTTTTTAAAAATCTCCGGTGATGGAGCATTCACTGCTTCTGGAGGCAAGGAGTTCCACTAGTTAATTGTTCTCACTGTCAGGAAGTTTCTCCTTAGTTCTAGGTTGCTTCTCTCCTTGACTAGTTTCCATCCATTGCTTCTCGTCCTGCCTTCAGGGGCTTTGGAAAATAGCTTGACTCCCTCTTCTTTGGGGCAGCCCCTGAGATACTGGAAGGCTGCTATGCTGTCCCCCCTCGTCCTTCTCTTCATTAGGCTAGACAGACCCAATTCCAGCAACCGTTCCTTATATGTTTTAGCCTCCAGTCCCCTGATCATCTTTGTTGCTCTTCTCTGCACTCTTTCTAGAGTCTCAACATCTTTTTTACATCGTGGTGACCAAAGCTGGGTGAAGTATTCCAAGTGTGGCCTTACCAAGGCCTTGTAAAGTGGTGTTAATACTTCACGTGATCTTGATTCTATCCCTCTGTTAATGCAGCCTAGCATTATGATCTATTGAATATTGATTTATACAAACCAAGGCTTAGTTCAATGCATAAACCTAAGCTCGGCCTCAGTTCCCCAAAACAGGGCTTATAAATTGATCAAGGAGAGATTCAACCTGGAAATAAGGAGAAATTTCCTGATGGTATCAACCAATGGACCAGAAGTTGCCTTCAGAAGGAGCTCCATCCCTGGAGGCTTTCAAGAAGAGACTGGACTGCCATGTGTCAGAAATGGTATAGGGTCTCCTGCTTGGGCAGGGGGCTGGACTAGATGACCTCCACAGTCCCTTCCAACTCTGTGATTCTAATAATTCTAATTCTAATAATTCTAATTCTAATTAATCCTAATTCTAATTCTAATCCTAATTCTAATTAATTCTAATTCTAATAATTCTAATTCTAATAAATCTAATTCTAATAATTCTAATTCTAATCTAATCTTAATCCTAATTCTAATCCTAATTCTAATAATTCTAATTCTAATTAATTATTTCTAATCCTAATTCTAATTAATCCTAATCCTAATTTTAATCTTAATCCTAATTAATTCTAATTGTAATTGTAATTCTAATTCTCATTAATCCTAATTCTAATCCTAATCCTAATTCTAATCCTAATTAATTCTAATTCTAATTCTAATCTTAATTCTAATTCTAATCCTAATTCTAATAATTCTAATTCTAATTATTTCTAATCCTAATTCTAATTAATCCTAATCCTAATTCTAATCCTAATTAATTCTAATTCTAATTCTAATTCTAATTACGGTAATCCTAATTCTAATTCTAATCCTAATCCTAATTCTAATCCTAATCCTAATTAATTCTAATTCTAATTCTAATTCTAATAATCCTAATCTTAATCCTAATTCTAATCCTAATTAATTCTAATTCTAATCCTAATTCTAATTCTAATCCTAATCCCAATTGCCATATGCTGCTGTCAGTGGGGGCTGAAGGCTCTCCGGCCTCTTTCCCCCACCCCCCCCGGACCCTCCCCCAGGGAGCCTCACCTCCAAGTCGCAGAAGGTGAAGTCCGGCAGGCGGGTGACCTGGTTGCCGGAGAGGTAGAGGACGCGCAGGTGCTCCAGGCCCTTGAAGATGCTGCTGTTGATCAAGTGGATGCGGTTGCCGTTCAGCGCCAGCTCCAGCAGCCGATTCTGCTGGTGGAAGGCGCCGGGCTCCAGGGCGGAAATGGTGTTGTTCTGCATGTAGAGGTACTGGAGGTCCAGGAGGGAGGCCAGGTCCTGCTGCCGGATCTGGGTGATGCTGTTGTCCTGCAGGAAAATGGTCTGACAAGCCGGGAGGGGGGGACAAAGCCCAGATTCAGTCAAGGGTGGGACGCAGGTCCTTTGTTACGTAAATTACAGCATGGGGTCCCTGGTGCCCTCTCAGCTGGGTGGTTCTCCTGCAGACGTTTCATGACCTAACTGGGCAACATCATCAGTGAAAGAAGGGAAGGGGGCTTGCACGGAGGAGGAGGAGGAGGAGGAGGAGGAGGAGGAG